GACATCTAAGGCTGAGGTCGAGGAAGTTAAGCTCGAGCTTTTCCAGTCCCAGAGGAGCTTCGGTGAAGAGCTCGCAAAGGCACGTGAGGAGGCTCGAGCTCAGGCTGTTGAAGACTTCAAGAAGTCCAACGAGTTTGGGACCCTGCTGGGATAGTACGGGTCGAGCTCTTACCATTAGGGGCTTCGCCTTGCCCGTTCTTATCTTCGCATGAAGATGCCTGAGGATTTAAAGTCCCTCGTCGAGGACTTGAAGACAGTGAACGAGCTCGTAGGGGGGCTCGAACTTTCGGATTCTGAGGTCGAGGACGACGGTGAAGATGATGATGATGGTGATGGAGATGACGCCGAGACTGGCGATCAAGGGGATGATGTCAAGGTTGTAGATATCGATTAGGTTTTTAACTTTGTTTAAAATTTTTTGTAATGTTGCCCGAACTGGGCTGATACTTTTGCTACTAATTTCATCGATCAATGTTCGTGCACTTTACTTGTTTTTGATTTAATGATTGATTAATGTTTGTTCACATTACTGTTTTTAATTGATGAATGTTTGTGCATACTACGTTTTTAATTTAATGATGAATGTTCGTGCACATGTCTTCTGTTTGTTTTCAATGCACAACACAAACACAATGCTTTTGGACTCAATCAACGCTTCGGTGCTGAACATCGAGCATGCACGAGCTCGATCCTTGATGTTGTCATTGGACCCATAGGTCGAACGAGATGATGAGTTCGAGCCTTTTAGTTTGCTATAACTTGGGCCTTTTTTAGCTCGGGGTGTTTTGTCAGGCACGGGGCTCAATTTGATCAACACTTCGACCTTAAACACCAGGCATGTCTTAGCTCGATTCTTGATGTAGTCGTCGATGTCTAACTTAGGGGCTTGAAAGTCAGTTCAGATGATGAGTTCTAGGTCGTGTTTGATTTTTATCATGTCAACTTGCCCGACCCCGAACTTATCCGTTATTGATTTTAGATGCAAACTAGTTCGGGGTTAATGACCTCGAGCTGTATTATGCAGCATGCCCGCATGTCATTATGCTAGAGTTTAGTTGCATGCCCGAAGCACGTCATTACACTAATTTAAAGTGGCTGCAAGCCCGAAGCACGTCATTATGCCAAAGTTATTAGTTGCATGCCCGTAGCACATCATTACACTAATGTTAAAAAGGTTATTAGTTGCATGCCCGTAGCACGTCATTACACTAATGTTAAAGTGGCTGTATGCCCGAAGCACGTCATTATGCCAAGGTTATTAGTTGCATGCCCGTAGCACGTCATTACACTAATGTTAAAGTGGTTGTATGCCCGAAGCACGTCATTATGCCAAGGTTATTAGTTGCATGCCCGTAGCACGTCATTACACTAATGTTAAAGTGGCTGCATGCCCGAAGCACGTCATTATGCCAAGGTTATTAGTTGCATGCCCGTAGCACGTCATTACACTAATGTTAAAGTGGCTGCATGCCCGAAGCACGTCATTATGTCAAGATTATTAGTTGTATGCCTGTAGCACGTCATTACACTAATGTTAAAGTGGCTGCATGCCCGAAGCATGTCATTATGCCAAAGTTTAAGTAGTGCTAGGAAAAGAAAACTTTGAATATTATTAGGTGCTTAAGGGTACTTAGCTCGAGCTACTTGAAAGCAAAAAATGCTTAAGGGTTCATAGCCCTGAGCTACTTGAAAGCAAAAAAAAAGCTCAAGGGTTCATAGACTCGAGCTACTAAAAACGAAAATAAGGCGGGCATGCAAGCCCTTGTGTGATGCTATTGCTATTCTACTTGTAATATATTTTTAGGTTATCCACGTTCCAAGGCCTCGGGAGTGGATTTCCTGAAGTATCTCTAAGGCTGTATGCTCCTCCTTTGATCCTTCGTATGACTTTGAATGGGCCTTCCCATACTGGTCCAAGTTTACCTGGAGGGTGTCCAGCAGCCTCTGCTCTTCTTAGAACCAAATCACCACTCTTAAATTCTCGGGACTTGACTTTGGTGTTGAAATACTTTGCCATTTTATTTTGGTAACTAGCAGCTCTCAGTGAAGCTTGCTCTCTTACTTCTTCAAGCAAGTCAAGATGTTCTGTTGTTCGGTCTTCCATGCCGGGTTCAACCCTCCTTAAAGTGGGGAGACTGACTTCAATGGGGATAGTGGCCTCCAAGCCAAAAGCTAACATGAAAGGAGTCTCGCCTGTTGCTGTCTTATGAGAAGTTCTGTATGCCCATAGTATAGAGGGCAACTCATCGGGCCAGTCACCTCTTGCATTTTCGATCCTGGTGCGAAGGTCCTGAAGTATGATTCTATTTGTCACCTCAGCGAGGTCATTGCTTTGAGGGTGCGATACTGACGTCAGACAATGGTCGATACCGAGATTGACACAAAAGTTTCATGAATTGTGAATTGTCGAACTGCCTTCCATTGTCTGTTATAAGTACTTTGGGTATTCCAAACCTACATATAATAGACTTCCATATAAATGATCTGAGCTTGGCCTCTGATATTTTTGCTAGGGGTTCGACTTCTACCCACTTTGTGAAGTATTCAACTGCAAATTTTAATTGTCCTCGAGCCACGGGGAAAGGACCAAGAATGTCAACTCCCCATTGTTCAAATGGTGCTGAATAATGGATAGAGGTCAACTCTTCTGCAGGGGCATGTATAGCATTACCAAACCTCTGACATTTGTCGTATCTTTTGACATATTCTGCTACATCTTTTTTCATAGTTGGCTAGTAGTATCCATACCTTATTAATTTGTAGGCAAGGGCCCTGGCTCCCTGGTGATTTCCGCATACTCCCTCGTGAACCTCAGTTAGGGCTTGGAGAGATTCAGAAGGCTTAAGGCATCTCAGATAGGATAGCGTGAGACTTCGTCAAAATAGCACCCCTCTGATCATGCAGTACCTAGCAGCTTTAGCTCGAATAGTTCTTGCGGCGCGAGGGTTAGGAGGTAGGTCTCCATTACTTATATACTCAACTATTGGATCAATCCAGGAGGGCTCATGGTCAATGTCCATGACGCTCGGCTTCATGTTTATGCTAGGCTCTGTGACAATCTTGATGTGCACTGTTCTGTCGAGTCCATCTATCCTCATGAAAACAAGTCTAGATAGTGCATCAGCTTTGGAGTTATCTGCCCTTGCTATTTTCAATATTTCACAACTTGTGAACTGCCTTTGAAGGTCATGCACTTTTAGACAGTATGAGCTCATCTTTTCATCTTTTCTTTCAAAGGATCCTTCAATCTGTCCAATAACGAGCTGTGAGTCGCTGAAGACTCTGATGTGCTCTAATTCCAAATTCCTGGCAAGTTAGAGAGCAATGACCACAGCTTCATATCCCACTTCGTTGTTGGTTGCTTCAAACTCAAACCTAAGCACACATTGAACTTCAGTGGTTTTGTCCGGGCTGATGATGATTATCCCGGCCCCTGAGCTCGAGCCGTTCGATGCCCCGTCAACAAATATCTCCCAGGTTTTTGAGGTCGTGCTCGGGTTTTTTACTTCTGGCCTTTCTGTCTTCGGAGTGAGTTCAGCGATGAAGTCGGCCAGTGCTTGCGCTTTGATGGAAGGTCGAGGTTTGAATTCTATGTCGAACTCGCCAAGCTCGATCGCCCATTTTAATAGCCTTCCTGAGACATCTGGCCTCTGAAGTATGTGCTTAAGTGGATGAATGGTGAGAACTATTATGGGGTGAGATTGGAAATATTGTCGCAACTTTCTAGCAGTTACTATCAAAGCAAGAGCTAACTGTTCCGCAAGGTTATGCCGAGTTTTGGTGTCAAGAAGTACTTTACTGACATAGTAGATGGGTTGTTGCACCCTTCCTTTTTCCTTTACTAGCACCCCACTTACGGCATTTTGAGAAACAGCCAAGTAAAGGAACAAAGTATCACCAGGCTCTGGTTTGGCAAGAATCGGAGGTACAGCTAAAGTTTGCTTAAGTTGTTGGAAGGCTAGATCACATTCGTCATTCCATTCAAAACTCTTGTGGCCTCTTAGAACTTTGAAAAAGGGGAACATCTATCTACTGCTCGAGAGACAAATCAATTCAATGCTGCTACCCGACCTATAAGCTTTTGGATGTCCTTTTTGCTCTTTTGGGCTTCCATAGATACTAGGGCTTGGATCTTGTCAGGGTTGGCTTCTATTCCTCTATTTGTGATCATGAAACCTAGAAACTTTCCTGATGCTACCCCAAAGGCACATTTTGTTAGGTTGAGCTTCATGTTGTATTTTCGTAGCGTGGAAAACACTTCTTCAAGATCGGTGATATGATCATCCACCTGTTTACTTTTGACCACCATGTCATCTACGTAAGCCTCAATAGTTTTCCTAATTAAATCAGCAAAGACCTTGTTGATTAGCCTCTGATATGTAGCCCCTGAGTTCTTTAAGCCGAATGGCATGGCCTTATAACAATAGATGGCGGAATCTTCCATGAATGAGGTCTTCTCTTGATCTTCTGTGGCCATTGGTATTTGGTGGTACCCTGAGAATGCATCCAAAAAGCTGTACAATTTGTGACCCGAAGTGCTGTCAACGTGACTATCAATCCGAGGTAGGGGATAGCTATCTTTCGGACATGCTTTGTTCAAATCAGTGAAGTCAATGCAAACTGGCCACTTTCCATTGGCCTTTTTTATGAGAACTACATTGGTGAGCCAGTCAGGATATTGTACTTCTCAGATGAATTGTGCATTGAGCAGCTTTGCAATCTCTTCTCATATGACTTCGCGCCATTCAGGCGCAAACTGTCTTTTTCTTTGTTTGACAGGTTTAGCTCCTAGGTTTACATTGAGCCAGTGTACGGCAACCTCGGGGTCAATTCCGGGCATGTCTTCAACTATCCATGCGAATACGTCTTAGTTCTAGGAGAGACAACTTATGAGTTTAGCCATGATGGTTGAATCAAGGTCACGCCCTACTGTCACCTTCCTACCAGGCACGAGCTCGACCTCGACCAGCTCCTCTACCGAGGCGAGTCTCCCACGATTTTCAAGCTCGAGCTCGAGCTCTGTAAGCTGCATGACGTCGTCCTTTTATTTTTCGGACACTGTTCACATAACACTGGCGAGCCATGGTTTGGCTTCCTCGGACGACCCCAACTCCACTATATGTAGGGAACTTCATCGCCAGGTGAAAAGTTGAGATAACAGCTCTAATTTTATTTAGCAACGGTCTTCCTAGAATGGCGTTGTAGGCCATCGGAGTTCGGACAACTTCGAAAGTTACGATATGGGTTACCAGCCGACCTTCAGATCCCAAAGTCATGGGTAATTCAACAATACCTTCAGGGGTGATAACCCCACCACCAAATCCTTGTAGGTGTGTTTTAACAGGCTTGAGTTGTTTCACTGAGATACCCATCTGAACTAAAGCTTCATGAGACAGTACATTAGCTGCACTTCCATTATCCACAAGAATTCTCTTGACCTCGAAGTTAGCTATGATGGCTGATATGACTAGGGCGTCATCATGGGGGAAGGATATTCCTTCCAAATCCTTGGACTCGAAGGTGATATATTCCGTATGAGCAAGATCCGTGTTGGAAGAGACTAGAAGCTGTTTGGCGTACTTCTTACGTCCATTGTTGGTGTCTCCTCCTGAAGCTGTTCCTCCGATAATAACGTCAATAGTGCCAGTTGTTGGTGGTTCACTACCACACCCTTCATGTATGTTATTCTACTTGTTCCTCGGGCATTTTTCATGGCTAGTGTAAGAGCCCAAAAAACCCCTCCTGATGTGGACCTCAATTTGTTGCTTCAGAGCCAAACACCTCTCAGTGGTATGTCCGTGGTCCCGATGGAAGTCACAATACTTGGTTCTGTCTCTGTTTTTAGGTAATGATGGCATTCTGGGAGGCCACTTAAGCTCTTTGAGGTCCTTGATCTCCATCAGGATGTTGGACCTTGATGTATTCAGGGGAGCAAAAGTTTTCGGTCGGGGGTTTTGTCTTTGCTTGACCCGAGGATTGTCATCTCGTTGATTGGTTTCACGCGGTCTCTTATTGTCTGGCCTTAGCAAAGGTAAAACGTCCTTTCTTGGGGTTAGAGTTTCTTCCATATTGATGTATTTCTCAGCTCGAGTTAGGAGGTCAGTTACTGACTTTAGGGAGGTTTTTGACAAAGACATCTTGAATGCTTCACATCTTATAGCGTATGTCAAAGCTGAGACCGCAGCTGTAATATGTAGATCGGGAATCTGAAGTCTTTCTTTATTGAATCTGGTCATGAAATTGCGTAATGTTTCATTAGGTCCCTGGCGCATCTGCATAAGTGATGCCGCTGTTTTCCTAATTCTCTTACTGCTTGCGAAGAAAGTAGAGAATTATCGGCCAAGTCTACGAATGAGGCGATAGAGTTTGGCTCTAATGTGGAGAGCCAATCTCTAGCTGCGCTTGTAAGAGTTTGAGGGAAGGCCTTGCACATTACAGCGCCAGGTGCGACCTGTAGGTTCATGATATCCGTATATATATTGAGGTGGTTGACAGGGTCAGTGGTTCCATCATTCTCCTTTATCCTGGGGTACTTGAACCTATCCGGAAGGGGGTAGGACAGTACTTCAAGAGTAAAGGGAATGCTAGGGGTAAAGCCTGTTGTCCCCTTTGATTTCTGTGCTAGGCCCGTGGCAATACCTTCTTGGATGATTCTGGCAAGCTCCCCTGACTCTATCGTTACTGCCCTTGATGTTGCGGTCATAGGAGGTACACCCGAGGTTCCAACACCATTATCAGGGATGTTTTGTGGAGCTCGAGCTTGAGCAGCTGCCATAAGATCGCCATCCGGTGTTGGTGTATGCGATGGGTGTGAGTTTCTTTGGCTTAATGACTGAGTCAATGTGGTAACTTGTTGGCGGAGCTCTTCAAAAGCTCCGGTGGTAATGATAGCTGGTGGCGGTGCTGCCATCTCTGATGATTCTTCTTGAGGGACAGGGTGATCTCCAGGGGGAGGATTTGGAGCGGATGAGCTTGCTGGTGGAAGACCTGATCGTGTATTCACCATGGCTTTTGGTAGCAATTCCCACAGACGGTGCCAATGATGCTACCAAAAAATATCACCTGAAAGATCTCAAGCTTGATGGTCCAACTTCACTTTGATGAACACAACCCGTCTGTGATTACCTGCAACAAAGGCAACGAGGTGTGTACTCGTCGCCCCTCCGATGCTTAAGTTAGATGGGAAATTTAGTGTGTGAGGCTATAAATTGAAGATAATGAAAAATGTATCTTAGTGTTGAGCTTTGGCCAAGTATTTATAGGTGTTGGTGGGGGAGCTGTAGAATGATTCTATTATTGAAAAAGTCCTTTTCCCCTTAGGATTAGGTGTTGGAGTGTGATTAGAAGTATTCTGTTAGAGTTCTAATCAGGGGAGGAGTAGACTTAGGTGGGGTCTATTTTCTTTTGGAGATTAAGTCTGTGGGCAGGGTTCGAACAGATACCTCGACCTTGAGTAAATCCCGACCTCAAATCGGCGCAACACACTAAGATCAACTCGGGGTATTAGTTCGAGGTCGAGCATGGCACACGAACTCAGGTATAGTTCGGGGTTACCAATCCGAAATCATCAGCTATCATTTCTGTTCAGCCTCCATAGCCACAGATCAGTGTTATACATGATATCGTTGGATTATAAGATATATTTTTCAAACTTGTACACGAGGATTCAGACTTTTGTTAGTACTTAACTTTGGCTTGTGTTTTTGTTGCCCAGGTAAAGGCTAAGCTCGACAAGATACTCAAGGCCAAGAACCAAGCATTAAAATATATATAAAACTGGCCATATAAAAGTATTATAGATTTATTAATTTCTGTGATCTTATATATTTCAAGAGTTCGGTGAAATTGGGTGGTCTAGAATTAATTAGGTAGATCTAATTATTAGAGTTTGGATAATATAGGTCTGATCGGGTCCCTGTAGTAGCTCTATAAAGTATTGAAACTCAATTACAATTATTATAAAAGTTTTGGACTACTTACAATAAAGTTTTGGATATATTTGTAATTATTATGTAATGTTATAAATTTAATTTTAATTGTAATTGATATTCTAGGACTACACATGTAATTAAATATAAACTAATTGGATTTGGACTTTAAGCCCCCCATTTGGCCCCCCATTGTTTCAATTTATGATTTTTGGAATAGTATTTTTTTTGAAGAATATGTGGTTGAGAACGAAGGAAAAGTTTTTAATCCAAGTGTAATATTATTTTATGAAAAATTGTGTGGTTGAAAATGAGATAGAGAAAATTATAATTTGAAATAATGGGGACCAAACGACGGCTAATTAAAACTCTTATTTTTTATTTAACTTAAAATTCCTATTTGAATGTAGAATTAATAATATATGGATTTGAACTATTTTATCTCTACAAATAGAGATGAAATGAAACCTAGACATCCTATTAAACACAACAAAACAGGGTACAATAATTTCATAGTGTTCATTTTTTAAGAGAGAAAAGATGAGAAAATTTATTTTTCTTACTTTATTTAACTGTCCAATTCAAAAATTGGTTCCTTAATTTATTTAAAAGAAGGTACTCATCCATTGGTATAATATTGTTTTTCGGAGAATATCTTATATGATCAAAGAGTCAAGCCCAGCAAAGACATGTTCGGGACGAGACTCGTTGATTATTAGAAGTGGACCGATGATGCGATCGAGGGCAAAGCGAATGAATCAAGTGATGGGACTATTAGTTCAGTCAACAATTGAGGAGACGATGATCGTGGCGAGATATGAGGTAAGTTTTATGTTGGGGTCGAAGACTAAAAACAATTGATCAACTCGATACGCATGGACGAAGATGGGACCAAAGGGTTGATCTGTACGATCGCACAGTGTAATCAACCATGCGGTCGCATGGTAGTCGACAGAGACTCAAGAGGCTCAAAAATTTGACTTGTGCGACTACACAAGATATTACCATGCGGTCGCATAGTACAAAAATAAGGACGAAATTTTCTTTTTTTCGTGAATTTCCTTATTTTGTTTGAACTCTATAGTTGGCAAAACATTTGTAATCTTCCATTAATATTTTTTTCGTTTTCCATTAGATTTTAGGCTAGTATAAATATGCTTATATTCTTTTTCATTGTACAACTTAAGACATTATTATTCAATTGAATTGTGAGGCTTATTGCTTTTAAATCCATTGTTCTTCTTTTGAATAATTTTGAATTTATTAAGGTGCAAATCTCGTGGCATTCAAACTCTGGTGCAATTATTGGGTTGTGTAATCAACAGATCTTTAAAACAACGTTTTGCAAGGTTGCTTGATTCATTAATTCTTGGGTTGAATCCACAAATTTAATCGAGGTTGTATCTTTCAATTTTCATATTGAATCTTTTAATTTTATTTGTTTCCTGTAATTTTTTTTTTTTTTTTGAATTCTTGTGTTCTTCGCATTCTTCGTTATTTTTAGCCTTTAATCCATAAAAGTGTTGTCAAATTTTCCAAAGTTGTTTTTGGCCTAATTTAGAATCCAAATCAACTTCTGTTAGTTGCATTGGTGTCGTCGTCGAATTTTCTAGAAAAAAAGAGGCAAATTTTTTTTTTAAAAAAAGAGTCGAAAATATTGTTATTTCCGTCCAACAATTTTTCGTTGATAATTCCTTTTGAGTCATTTATTTTCTTCCAATCAATTCGATGTATCGTTTCAATCAATTTTTGGTTTCGTTAGTTATACTCAAGTTTTCAATTCCCATTGTTCAAATTCCTCATAAAATCACTACTCTTGATTACACCCGGTTTGGAATCCACGAGGCTACGCTTGTGAGTTCACTTTGTTCTTGGAAGCACTTGGAGGAAAGCATTGGGTGGAAAAAGGTAGAGTGTGTAACACACAAAAATAATAAAATAATAAAATTTATCGTTATACTTTAAAAAAAGGACAAATGAAATATATTTCAAATTCCTATCGAGTCAAATAATTAGATTTTAATAAAAAGAGATGAAGTATATTGATATTGGATAGGGATGGTAGTTCTTTTAAATTGAAGAAAACAACGATAAAGTACAATCTTTGTTTTATGATTCACGCTACCTTGGATTTGACTCTATCAAATAAATTTTGCTTTATCAATTACTCTAGCTTGCACCTATATATAGGTATGATGGAAGAGTTTTATATACACAAATCAAAATATACACTTACGATAGAAAGGGAGAAAGAGGGGGTGGGAGAGAAAGTAGTGTTGGAAATCTAAAAGTTTGCATACATCGTTGTCAATCAATACATTTTCACCAAAGCAGAGAGATTGAGAAAAGAATTTGGACAAGAGCAATTATATTTCATTTTATTTAGCAAGGCAAGATACTTTTGTGCAAGTGTTTTCGTTTCCTTATACTTTTATATTCAATTAAATATACATAGATTTCCAATTGACCTTCGGAGGAGAAGAATGTGAAGATAGCGGTTCTAGAATTCTTTGACTATACAATTACTTGGTGGGATCAAGTAGTCACTTAACGACATGGGAATCGAGAAAGGCCTATCAACACTTGGGATGAGTTGAAGGTAGTGATGAGAAAGCGATTTATATCTAGTTACTACTATAGGAAACTCCATCAAAAGTTGCGGAGTTTATATCATGATTCGAAAAGTGTAGAGGATTATCACAAGAAAATGGAGATATTGATGATTAGGGCGAACGTGGAGGAGGATCGAGAAGCCACTATGACTCGTTTTCTAAATGGGTTGAACATAGATATAGCCAATGTGGTGGAGCTGCAACATTATGTGGAGTTGGAGGATATGTTACACGTGATGATGAAGGTAGAGAAGTAGTTGAAGAGGAAGGGGACTACTAAGCAATCAGTGGGAACTTCAACTTCTAATTCATCTTGGAAACTTAAGTGTGATAAAAATTAAAGGAAACGAAGTTGTTTTTAAGGATAGGACTGAGTTACCGAGGGGGAAAGAAAAGAGTACTAGCATAATCATACCCAATGGAGAGTCATAACCATCAAGGAATAGGGCTATTAAGTATTTTAGGTGCTTACAATCGAGACACATCATTTCTCAGTGTCCAAACAAATGGGCCATGGTGTTACAGGACAATGGAGAGGTAGTGAGCGAAAGTGAAGGTGAATATGAAGACATACCGGAATTAGAAGAAATTAGTGATGGAGAAAAGTGAAATATGTTGTAGGAGAGCTGTTGGTCACAATGGGAGCTCTGAACACTCAAATCAAGATGGATGATTTGGAGCAGCAGCAGGAAAATA